CTTGAAATAAATCTGTTTAGGGCTGCAATTCGACCAGTCAGACGCTGTACTTCCTTGAAGTTCTTCGGGGATGGCATGTTTAGAAAGGCATTAATTTGGTTTGGATTAGCTTCGATTCCTCTTTTTGTCACGATATAACCAAGGAACTCTCCGGATGGAACTCCGAAAGTGCACTTCGCCGGGTTCAGCTTCATTTGATATCGGTTGAGAATTTCGAAACACTCTTCCAAATGCTTAATGTGATCCTCTTTCTTCAAAGACTTAACCAACATATCGTCTATGTAGACTTCCATTGTCTTCCCGAGATGCTCATGGAACATTTTGTTGACCAATCGTTGATAAGTGGCTCCTGCGTTTTTTAAACCAAAAGGCATTACTTTATAACAGTAGGTACCTCTGTCTGTGATGAATGACGTCTTTTCTTGGTCTTCTGGATCCATCATTATTTGATTATAACCCGAGAAAGCATCCATGAAAGTTAATAACTCATTCCCAGCGGTAGATTCTACGAGCCGGTCTATATGCGGGAGCGGAAAACTATCTTTCGGACATGCCTTATTGAGATCGGTGAAGTCGATACACACTCTGTCCTTTCCATTTTTCTTTTTGACCACGACAGTGTTTGCCACCCACTCCGGGTATTGTACTTCCCTTATAGATCCTATTTTTAGTAGTTTGTCCACTTCATCATTTACTGCCTTTGCTCGCTCTACTCCGAGTTTCCTTCTCTTTTGTTTTACGGGCTTAAAACTTGGATCTTCGTTCAATTTGTGGCAGATTATGCTTGGATCTATGCCAGGCATATCGGCCGCTGACCATGCAAATGACGTCTTGTTTTTCCTTAGAAGTTCAATCAAAGCTTCTTTTATTTCGCCAGTCAAAGTGACTCCAATTCGGACTTTCCGATCTGGTTTATCTTCTTCCAATACTACTTCGATTACCACATCGTCTTCTTTTTGCCCACTAGGAAATCTTGGAATTTCCTTCTTCGCAGGTTTCGTTAATTGCTATTGGATCTTTAGTCGATGACTGGTCAGATAGCACGTTCGTGAAGCTTCTTGACTTCCTCGAATTGTTCCCACTCCACTAGGAGTTGGAAATTTGATGCATTGATGATACGTCGAGGGAACTGCCTTCATTTGATAAATCCATGGAGTCCCAAGGATGATGTTGTAAGCTGCCGGTTTATCGAAAACAACAAAATCTACTATCTTTGACACGTTTTTGGCAAGAACTGGTAGCTTGATCGTCCCGAGAGACATGGCCGATTCGCTTGTGAATGCCACCAAAGGAGACGGCGGTCCTACTATATCTGCCCGACTGATTCCCATTCTTTCCAGGGTACCTAAAAAGATTAAGTCGACCGAACTGCCCGTATCAACGAGAATTCTCGAAACTTCGAAGTCTTGATCATACTGATCTACAAGCTGATCTTCATCTCCGAGCTGCGTCTCTTCTTCCACATCCGGTTGGATTGTTGGGTTAGAAGTTGTTTGTTCGTTGGTCTCACTTCGCACACGGGAGTTTGGCGTACTGAACATGCTTCTTCGGACTCCCACGGTACTTCCTGCACCTAGAGAACGAACACGAGATTGAATAGTATTGATGTTTTGACCAAGAGATACCTGGGTTGTTTTAAGCGTGTCCACAGCTTTTTCCACATCCGAGAACTTCTGCGACATTTCTGTTATGGCTTGCTGCATGGTCTTGAGAGCCTCGGCTACTGTCGAATCAGGGATGCTTGCTCCAGACATTGCTGCTTATCTCGGAAATGAGAGAAATCTGACAACTCAAGAATCTTCTAGATCCCCACAGACGGCGCCAAAATGTGGATGTCGGATTCGCACACTTGAATATTTGTTTAATTAGTGGGAATGATTATTCTTGAGGACAAAAATATGATGAAAAAGCTATGAATTGAAATGGAAAATGATTATAGTGTATTTGCTAGAAAAATTGCGTATGTATTACATGGCTATTAGCCCTCTTATTTATATTGACAAACGACATTTAACTCTCAATTAAACATAATTATTCTCTCTTAAATGCGTCCGTTTTGGTCTTCGAGTTTTAATGCCCAACGTTTGAATTTGAATTGACTCCGATCTTCATGGGCTTTGCCTTTTGGCCCAAGTCATCCGACTTCGATTCCGAGTCATATCCCGAGGTGTGACCACTCCGGGCTCTCTTTATGGTGATGCCCACTTCGATTATATCTTGTGATCCATGGGCTTAATGGGCCTTATCCTCTGTGGGCCTTTATCCTGATTACATGGCAATCTTTGGTTGGTCCCGGTCTACTGGTGCGGGATCCGACACCAACACTAACTAGTCTAAAAATGTCTACGTTTAGGAATCTGTTGCCATGTTTCTTGAGGTGGTTGGTTAGGATAAGACTGTTCGAGATATAGCTGCAAGATATAAACGGTCATTAGATACGGTGAAAAGGAATATTGATAATGTATTGAGTGTTCTTTTAAAGTTTGCAGCGGATACACTAAAGTCACAAGAAGATGAGTTTACAAGAGTAAACCCTGTTTTGAAGAATGGTGATCGATACTGGCCTTTTTTTAAAGATTATGTTGGAGCACTTGATGAAACCCATATCCAGGTTCGTCCTCCAAGTCAATCTACAGAAAAATATAAAGGTAGAAAGCTAGAAGCTACAATGAATGTTCTTGATATATGTAACTTCAATATAAAGTTCATATACGCATATGTCGGCGTACATGGTAGAGCACATGATACGAAGGTTTTGAATTATTTTACGAGGAATGAACCATCTTTCCCACATCCGCCTAGTAGGAAGTACTATCTTGTTGAATCCGGATATCCCACTAGGGCTGGGTATTTTTTGGTGTATTACGTTTAGTTAAATGTTTTGGTTTACTATTTTTGTTTTAATTTAGCTCATGATTTATCACAAAAAAATTATATTGTTATACTTATATATTTTACCAAAAATTATTATTCATTACCCAAAAAAAACTAAAAATTATTACTAGCTAAACAAATATTTCTTATGGATGTAAATATATTTAAATTATATTTTTCTTGATTCAAAATATAATTATACAAAATTATTAAAAAAAACACTAAGAATTAAGTGAAAATTGTCGCTGTCAGAGAAACGAACACAAAAACCTGCGGCAACTGCAGCGTCGGCGGCAGAAGTCGCGTCATCGAAAAGAATACAAAACTCGCGGCTGTGACTGTGACTGCGGCGACAAAACAATAACTTGAGGTAGTGTTTGCCGCAGCTGCAGCCGTTAGCGGTGACGAAACGAACAGACTAATTATAAGTTTATAACTAGAAAGTTTCACATCGGATGTTAGGCTTTTCATATATTTTTCTTTCTATAATTATTTTATAATTTATGGTTTTGTATAATTTAATTTGTTTAGTGTATATATAAAATTCAAATTACGTACTATATACAAATTTTCTATATGATCATCGCTAATCATAAGCCCAACAACAAGCTTTTGATGTTAAACATTCGTGGGTTGTGTCGGGCTATGATGGGCTGTACCCATGTTCTAATACCCATGTTCGGTTCTTTTGATTCAAAATGGTTCTTTTGATTCGTGGGTTGTGTGTGTTGGGCTCTTTGCCTATTAGGCCTTTTGGCTTTGTAATTTCTTTTTCTTTATGCAATCAATAGCAAATCTTTTATTTTAAAAACAAAAGTTAAAAAACTTGATGTTTTATTTTTGATAAATTTGAAATGTTCATTTGGATCTTTTAGTTTATTAAATTATCTCGATGCAATTCAAAATTTTGTAGTATTTTCTAGTCTATTAAAATACATAACTCAAATTTATAATTCCTAAATATTATAAATATTTTTAAGAGAAAAGTAACTTATATAAGTGTTGATAGAACACAAATTTTTAAATTTTAACAATGGTCAATTTTGGAAATACATGTTTCTTTACAAGAATATAAAATAGGTTTATCTATATAATCTTATGAAAAGATCTGCAATTTATACTTTTGACAAGACCCTAGTCATTTCATGTAATTTTTGCATCAAGAAACATATATCATCAACAATTTTTCAAGCTCTTACTAAGCTTAACCAATTTTTGACAATCACTTAAAAAACAAGATATGACCGTTTAAAGAGAATGGTGTGTTATTTTTCCTTTTGTTTAATTTTCAGACAAATCACCGCTTGACACGTATGTGGATCTTAGCATTTGTTTGTGAATTTCATTATTTTTAATTATTTTTGGACTTAAGATTTTGTTAAGATACCTTTAAAACACACCGTTGGAGCTGCTCTTATGTTTGATGCATTTCTATTCATACTAAAGTGTTAGAAACCGATGATTTTTTTACCCCAAAAAAAAACGATGACTTAAATGCATGCCATGCTTAAAACATATAACACTTTTTAATTTTTTATTCTTGGGATAATTTTCACACTTTTTAAAAGAAGACAACTATGATAAAGTAAATGCATGCCATGCTTAAAACATATAACACTTCTTAATTTTTGATCAGGTTATTAATCATATTTTTTTGGTAATAAATATGTTTTTAATAAATAATTTGTTCATATAAAAGTTCTTAATTCTTAATATCTATTAAAGTTGTTGACCAAAAAAAAAGTTTTGTTCCATATAAATTACTAATAACCTTATAATTCAATGGTAATTTTGAAATAAAGAATATTCATAATAATGAGTTCATAAAAAAATTGGATAATGATGTCATTAAGTTTGATCATATTCTGAAATCTAAAGGTATAAAACCTTGAAACCAAAATCAGAACTTTCTAAAATGTTTGGAGAAAAGTCAATTACTATTTTTTCATTGCCTATGGGACCTATCACCTATGAGGAGAGAAAAGTAGAGGCAGAGCAAAAGAGGAAAGACAAAGACGTGGCACCAACGTGTTGAGTTTCAGCGTCACGTCCGTGTGACTCGTTACGAGAGTAAGTCATTATCTTTTAGTCTTCTTATATATATAACCAAACCCATCTTGGATCATTTAGGTTCGCTCGTCTTTCTCCAATCACAAGAACAACTTTCCAAGCTATAACTTTGGTTAATCTAAGGTACATAAGTTCATTTTTCTCTCTACTTCGTGTTTGATCTATGTCCAAAGTATTTTGGTCTTATAATTTCCAGTTTTCTAGATTAGTCGTTTTCTTGATAGATCTGAGATTTTGGGTTTCTTATGATTTAGTGCCCTTTACTTGGTAGACTTTTTGTTTGGTCTCATCTTTTATCTGGTGAATTAATCTGAATGTAGTTCTGTCTAGCTATTTCCTCTAGCTTCTATGTTACAAGAATAGAACAATTGTTCGATACTCTGGTTGTTTATTGACTCAATCAATTGGAGATTTTTCTTTTTACCAAAAAAAAAAAAAAATTCAATTCTAGATTTTCTGAGTTCTTGATTGGAGAATTCAACATTCTTGTTTTTTGTTTTTTTCAACGAATAGTCGTGGTTGCTAGTAAATAGTGACCTACATTTAGTTTATTGTATCTCGGTGCAGAGGGTTGTAGAGTATAAGTGTATAACATGTTCATTTTGTAATCGTGGGTTCAAGAAGGCATTTCTGTGATAGGTTTCCACCACTAGTTAACAAAAAAAATTAAACGTTGTAAATTTCAGAGTTTTAAATTCTGGATTAGCGATCTTTTGTCGAAATAAATTGGTGAATTAATGGTAATAAAAAGATGAATATGATTTGGTTATCCAAATGTATGGTTGAATCATAACCATAAAACTAAGATTATTTGGTTGTTGGTCGCTAGAGCTAATTGCTGGCAACATCGAAACGAAAAGGGCCATAGGCTGATAGGCAGAAACTATTAATCCTCTTGCTTTTAAACAGAAAAAATGTAGCTCTTTTTCATAATGAATTTTGCTATAACAAAAGTGTTTTTTTTGTTTTTGCATTTTCTAGCAGAGGATTATGTCATCGAACCAAGAAAATGTCAAGGAAGAGAAACTCCATGTCAAAATGAAGACGCATGAATTGGATCCAAAAGAGAAGGGAGAAAATGTTGAGTTGGAAATGGAAGTGAAAGCAAAGTCAGTTGAGAAGGTTAAAACAAAGAAAGATGAAGAGAGTGGAGAGAAATCCAAGAAGGAAAAAGAAAAGACAAAGGGCAAGAAAGATGACAAACCTGACAAGGAGAAAGATGGAAAAGTTGTCTCCAAGAAACATGAAGAAGGCCATGGAGATCTAGAGGTTAAAGACAGCGATGAGAAAGTGGAAGAGCATGAGAAGGAAGACAAGAAGGGCAAAGAGAAGAAACAAGAGGAGTTAGAAGAAGAAAAGGAAGGTAAAAAGAAGAAGAAAAAAGAGAAGGATGAATCAGGTCCAGAGGGAAAAAATAAGAAGGCAGATAAAGAGAAGAAACATGAGGATGTATCACAAAAAAAGGAGGAGTTAGAAGAGGAAGCTGGTAAAAAGGACAAGAAGAAAGAGAAGGATGAATCAAGTACAGGGGAGAAAAACAAGAAACCAGAAAAAGAAAAGAAACAAAAAGAAGAATCCAAGGGTAAGGAAGACAAGAAGCTGAAGGGGAAGAAGGAAAAGGGAGAGAAGGATGAGCCTGAGAAAGAAGATAAAGAAAAGAAGAATGATGCAATGGATCAAGAGATGAAAGAAAAAGATGGTAAGAAGAACAAGAAGAAAGAGAAAGATGAATCAGGTACAGAGGAAAAAAAGAAGAAGCAAGAGAAAGAGAACAAACAGAAAGACGAATCCAAGGATAAAGAAGACAAGAAGCTGAAGGGGAAGAAGGATGAGCCTGAGAAAGAAGATGAAGAAAAGAAGAAAGAACATGATGCAACAGATCATGAGATGAAAGAAGAAGAAGCAGAACATAAGGAGGGAAAGAAAAAGAAGAATAAAGATAAGGCGAAGAAGAAGGAAACCGATGAGATATGTAAGAAAGAAACAAAAGATAAAGATGAGGATGAAGGAGAAACCAAGCAGAAAAAGAATAAGAAAAAGGAGAAGAAGAACGAAAAGGGCGAAAAAGATGAAAAAGAAGACAAGAAGAAGGAGAAACCCCTTGAAACTGAAGTGATGTCAAGAGATATAAAATTAGAAGAACCAGAAGCTGAGAAGAAGGAAGAAGAGGATAAAGAAGAGAAGAAGAAATCTAAAGGAGAAGGCGGTGAGAGTGAAGAGGGGAAGAAAAAGAAGAAGAAAGATAAAAAGAAGAACAAGAAGAAAGATACAAAGGAAACGAAAACGACCGTGGACGAAGAAGAGAAGAAAGATCATACTAAGGACATCAAAATAGAAGGGTCAAAAACTGAAGATGGTGAAGAAGAAAAGGGGAAAAAAGCAAAAACTAAGGAAGAAAAGAAAGACAAAGATGTGAAGAAGAAGAAGGGTGGTAATGACATCGGTAAGCTGAAAACGAAGTTGGCGAAGATCGATGAAAAAATAGGAGCCTTAATGGAGGAGAAGGCTGAAATCGAGAATCAGATTAAAGACGCAGAGGGAGAGCAATGATGTGAAGATATGGGAGCAGCGTAATGTTATGTAACTGAACTTAATAATATGAACTTAGCGACACTGAGGCTACATGTTTCTTGGTACAGTTGCACTTAACTTCAATTTTATTTTTTCTTTTTTTCCTTTATGTTGAGTTGTGAGAAACTACAAAGTTTTTTTTGGCAAAATAATATTTTTTCTTTTGTAAACATTGATGTGCATTTGGTTAGTTGATGTTTGTGAACAAAAAATAACTAAACAAGTTGCATAATCTATAGACACTAAACTATATTGTTCAATACAAATTCGGTTGGCTCAACCGATAATTTGGATGTTGTTAATGTGCTGCGTTTTGTAGGCTTGCCACAAGTACTATCAAATGAGGCATGGACCATAAAAAAATTTGTATCAAAAGCTCGAAATTTTCTAGTTGCATAAAAGGAAAAAGAAGTTTTTGTAGCAAGGATGTTGTTATAAACTGATGTACATGTGTTATTGATGGTAATGAAAATTTATCAAAATCTTTTATAAACATAGGCAAACATCTTCTCAAGACTTGACATATGAACTGACAAAGAGAAGAAGAGATGGTCCTGAATTTCATTTTGCAAAGGAGACATGAGAATTGTGATTTCCAAAGAGAAAGCCTATCTCACGTTACCATTCCGCTCCTTGCGGCCAATGCATACTTCACAATACATATTTGCTATTTTCTATTTTTCATGTACCAGGTCATAAAAGATTCTCGTCCTAAAAACAACCACAATATAGACTATGGAGTTATAGTTTTGTCAGAGATAATTAATCTGTGCAAATCTACACCACTCTAATAGTTTGTTATAAAATATAAATATTTCATTTTTAATATTATTGGACCACAATGAATATAAAAAGTTTATAGAGTTAAACAACTTAAACTCTCTTCACACACTATCTAAGTTTTCTCCAAGAATGGCCACTCTCTTTCTCTACTCTAATACATTCTCCTTCTTCTTCATTACACTGGTGTCACTACCTCTTCTCATTCTCCGGCAACCCACTGCGGCGGCGAGTTGTACAACTCCGCCGGTGATTTTTAACTTTGGAGATTCTAATTCAGACACAGGAGGACTTGTTGCTGGACTTGGTTACCCTGTTGGCTTCCCAAACGGACGCTTATTTTTCCGGCGATCCACCGGTCGTTTGTCCGACGGACGTCTTCTCATCGATTTTCTATGTAAGTAAAAAAACATAAAACAAAACTCTCTTGTTTGATAGTGATCGTGTTAGATCCACCGTACGTTTGCTTTTGGAATGTACGGCTCAGATTTTGTTAAGACATAAATGTCGGTGCGTCGCAGGTGTGATCCATAAATAATTCGGTCATTGAAAATCTAGTAGAACAAAGTGGGTTCCATGTAGCACATGTTAGAAGTCAATTAATTTTTTTGGTTTGTTTTAGTTGAAATTTGTTGGTTTGGTTTGGTTTGGTTTGAGTTTAGATTCAGTTTGGTTTTAGAGTCAATTAAATTTTGTTTTGGTTTGTTTTAGTTGAAATTTGTTGATTTGATGTGGTTTGAGTTTAGATTTAGTTTGGTTTAAGAGTCAATTAATTTTTTTTATTTTATTTTCAATTGAAATTTGTTGGTTTGGTTTGATTTTAGTTTATATTCAGTTTGGTTTTAGATAAAATTTTATAACAAAAAAAAAACTAATAATTTTCGTTAATGCTGTAAAATTTTAGTATATCTATATGTATATTTATTATTTAATCAAAAATATTAATTTTAATAAATATTGGTTATTGAAAAAAAATAAAAAATATATATTGGTTAATTCAGTTTAATTGCACAAAATTTGGTTAGAATGTTTTGATATACATTTCTATCATGTGATATAGAGATAACGGGTCATAAAAATAATTTGTACCGTAATTCAACAAAAATATATAGCTCAAGTCAGTTCGATTATCATTTAGAGAAATTTTTGATACGCGAACCAGATTTATATATTTTATGTTCGTGTCATCCATTTGAATTTGGTAAATGGATTTACTAACGATGGAATATTCAGGCCAGAGTTTGAATACAAGTCTTTTGAGGCCATACTTAGATTCATTGGGTGGAACAAGGTTTCAAAATGGTGCAAATTTCGCAATTGTTGGATCTTCTACTCTCCCCAAAAACGTCCCTTTCTCTCTCAACATTCAGCTCATGCAGTTCAGCCACTTCAAATCCCGATCACTCGAGCTCGGTTCTAGTTCAAGTAAACCAACCTAATCCCTTATCATTATTGTATTTCCTATGTTCTTAGTTAATGATCTTGACTAGAGTTAGCATGTGTGTTTTCTAGATTCATTAAAGGGCATGTTCATAAGCAATGATGGATTCAAAAACGCGTTGTACATGATCGATATTGGACAGAACGACATTGCTCATTCTTTCGCTAAAGGCAACTCGTATTCTCAGACGGTTAAGTTGATTCCACAAATTATTACCGAGATAAAAAGTGGCATAAAGGTGAGATTAATCTCCCTTAATAGAAATTTAGTATGCACCATGTAACCTTTTAAAATCGGTTTTGTGGTCTCTAGAGATTGTATGATGAAGGAGGAAGGAGATTCTGGATTCACAACACCGGTCCATTGGGTTGTCTACCTCAAAAACTCTCTATGGTTAAGAACAAAGATCTCGACCAGCACGGTTGCTTAGCTAGTTACAACTCGGCAGCAAATCTTTTTAACCAAGGACTGGATCATATTTGTGAGGAGCTGAGGACCAAACTGAGAGATGCCACCATAATCTATATCGACATATATGCTATCAAATACAGTCTCATTGCAAACTCCAACCAATACGGTTAAGTAGAGTTACTCATTGCCCTTACAATTAGTGAACGAGTGATTGTTATATCTTAACATTAGTTAGCTCAATGCAGGTTTTAAGAGACCGTTAATGGCGTGTTGCGGATACGGAGGGACTCCATACAACTACAATGTGAACATAACATGTGGGCGCAAAGGCTCTAATGTATGTGAGGAAGGGTCCCGTTACATAAGCTGGGATGGGATTCATTACACCGAGACAGCTAATGCCATTGTAGCCATGAAAGTTCTTTCAATGCATTACTCTAAGCCACCAACTCCGTTCCATTTCTTCTGCCGTCGCTAAGAACCAAATTTATTATTCTTTTGCTTATTTCTAACTTGGAAGGATTTTTTATCACTAAAAATGTAATCAAACAAAAAAAAAAATGTGAAGAAATACCTCACCAGGTCACCAGGGCATTGACAATATTTTAAAGTTTAAATTTATTATATATAGGGTCTGACTGGTTAGTACTAACAGAAGAAAAGAAATGTGAAGAAATTCTTCTCTTTTTAATATGTGAGAATAATCTTTTCTTCTAAATTAACTTTTCTTTTCTTCTGAACTTTTCTTCTCATTTCTATTAAATTATTCTAACTTTTATATCCGTCAAACCCATAGTATAATTAAACGACTCAACTAAAAAATCGAATTAAACTGATACAAACTTTTAAATTTGAATGTTTATTGTGGAAGTCGAAACTAACACAATCGAGATTTGTCTAGGGTTTTATTTTAGGGATACGATAAACGGGAATTCTCAAAGAACAACAGAAAACAATTGTAACCAGAGATGGTGTCCTTGATATTATTGATGAAAAGAATAGTTTTGATCGTACAAGAGTTTGATCGTAAAAGAAAAAGGTGTTTGTGCTGTAAGAGCTTTGTGTAGTGTAAATTCTAGAGCGATATTGCTTGCCCTAAAGTGAGAGCCTTGAGTCTCTTTATATAGGGATGATAAGCCGCCTCTCCAGCGATATTCTTGGAAGATTTCCATTTATCTTGAAGTCGGCTAGAATATCGCGGATTGGGAAAATTTCCTTATTCTTCGGGGTCTTTTGGAAGATTTCCTGATTCGAGTTGATCCTTCAAGATTCCGTCTTATCATTTCCGGGTATATCGGAAATGATGCCTTGCTTGGAAATGATACCTCTGAAGGTGAATATTTTCTAAGTCCTTACCTCGGAAGGTTCTCTACATTCTGCCTCGGGCACCACATTCTGCCTCGGGTAACATTGACACTTCACTTCGGGGCATAATGAGGCTTCGCCTCGGGTGCGCTTGATACTGCCTCGGGACAGCATGTGCATTCGGCTCGGGTCGAAGCGAAACGTTACTGCCGCTCCGAGCCGTTGCACCCGAGCCAATCCAACCGATGTCCCTGAGCCGATTTGGGAGATGTTCCCGAGCCAAATCGACGGCGTGTCACGAGCCGATTTGGGAGATGGCCCGAGCTGGTCGTCGATGTATCGGAAAGGTTGTGGTTTGGCTCGGTCGTAGTACGGGCTGCTCGAGAGGTACGTCCCGAGGCGACATGTCTTAGCTCGGACTTAGTGCGGGTGAAATCCGACCCCAACAGTTAGCCCCCCAGCTCGTTGTCTTGAGGAGCAAGTGACGAGCTTCACGGTTGTTAGCCCGAGCAATCTAAACTTTGTTCCGAGCCTATCCTTATATGCCGAGGCTATCCGTGTTTCGAAGACGATTCGTATTCTTTAGCGATTTATATTTTCTTGTCGATTCGAATTCCCTTGACGTTTCGTCTTCTTCCAGACGCATGACGGTTGAGTTTCTACCTCGAGAAGTGGAAGAGTCCCCTGCTGGTTCCCGAGATTCGTGCGGATGCGAAGCATTTTAATATTGGTCACGCGCACCCGACGCGCTTGAGACTTGGGCGGATGTGAAATACTCCTAAACTCGTGCGTGCCCGACGCGCCGAGGCGCTCTATAAATACTCGATTCCTACCTTGTTTTCTCATTTCGCAATCTGCAAGGAAAAATTTCCAAGGTTTGTCTCTTTTCTCTCTGATCTTGATTTATTCGTTTTCCGATTTACTTTTTCGTAGCGCCGCCGTGTTTAGATCTAGGTTGATTTTGCCGGCATCCTGAATTCTGTTTCTCCGGTTGTCCTTTCGATTTACCCGAGCAGATTGATGTCCCTTTCTGATTCGAGTGATTCTTCCCGAGGCAGAAATATCCCAGTTCATAAGCGAAAGATGGTTTGGAGCAGTTCAGACGGATCCGAGGCCAGTTTATCAGGCCGAGCCGATCCGAGCAGTGGTGCGGAGTCGTCATCTGAGCAACGGGGAAATCCGAATCGATTTGTGGCTACAATTGCTGATGTAGTTCGGGATGAGGATCTTCCGGATGATCCCGAGGCGATTTTGAATAGGAGGACGCGTCCTCCGGCTTCGGATGAAGCTGGTGTTTCTCGCTGGCAGGATGTGCCCGAGCTGCCGGTTTTGCCCGAGGTGAAGGGCGAGATGGTTACTTATGATCCCGAGGAGGGAGCCAGGCTACTTCAGCTGGCGATTCAAGGTGCCAAGGCTCTGAGGAAGAAAACCCGAGCCAAGAAAGTGAAGAAGCCTGATCCTCCCGGTTCCACTCTGTCGACTTCTGACTCTCTTCGGGAATTAAAAGCACGTTTTAATTTCAGCGAAGGGGTGACTCTGCGGTTGCCGACCCCCAATGAGAGAGCGGATGATCCTCCTGAGGGGTTCTTCACCTTGTACGAAGGATTCTTCTACTTCTGCTTCCTTTGGTTTCCAATACCGAGGCCAATCATTGAGTATTTGTGGTCGTATAAGCTCGCTTTGGCCCAGATTACAACCCGAGGCCTGCGCCACTTGATCGGGATTCTGGTGCGGGGGATCGAGACGTACAACAATGTCGGTCTCGATCACCTGAGGAATCTGCTGGAGATTCGACGCGTTCCGGGTTGTGCCATGGAGAGATATTACATCTCTCCTAGTCCGAGGCGAAGGGTTATTGGTGGCTTTCCGAGCAAAGATGAGAAGTACACCGATCATTTTTTCTTCGTTGCCCTTGACGAAGATTGTGTTCCCGAGGGCTGCCTTGAGAAAATGATTGGGAAATGGAGGAAGATTGGTAGTTTTTCCAAAATTTCTGCTCGTTTTGTGTTACAACTTGACTGTTTCGACTAATTCGCCTCGATCCTCTTTTTTTTTTTTTTTTTTTGCAGACCGAGGCCCGAGCTTTTTGGATCGTATTCCCGAGGACCTTTTCAGCGTACGCGAGGAGCTAGCTGCTAGAAAGTGTCACTGGATCAAGCATTTCTCTCAAGCAAGGATTGAAAAGGCGTTAAGGGTTCTTCACGGTGCGTCTTGTTCTACTTCTTCATCCTCTTCGGATCAGAGGTTAAGTTTTCTGACAGAAATGCAAGGAGTGAAGATGTCCTTGAGAGAGAAGAAAGCCGCCGAGAAGAAGGCGCGCGAGGAGGAGAGGGCGATCAAGGCAGCTTTTGGGCCTTTGACCCTGTCCGAGGCGACCGGGGGCAATGAGGTAACCATTGACCCCGAGGTGGTAGTCGATCCAGCAGGATCGGGGGCCGACCTAGCCGTTACTGTGGCTCACCCCGAGGTTCCCGAGGGTATCCCGACTGGGGATGTTGCTGGCCGAGCTCCCGAGACTGGGAGCACGTTGGTGGTTGGTCTGCGCGCCGGAGGGCAGACCAAATCTAAGGGAAAACGTCCTCGGGGAGAACATTCCGAGGACGTGCGCAAGAGGTCGAAGAAAACTCACAGCTCTTCTCGGCCCATTTATAAGGACAAGGTTGCTTCTGCCAACCTCATCGCTTCCTGCGCCTGGCCGCTACTTCCCGCCCCAGAGGGTTTGGTCGAGGCGGAGCGGTACGGTGAGACCGCGGCCAATTTCCTAAAGGTACGTGTTTAGGTTCCTTTTTGTATAAGACTTGTTTCGTGTCTTAATATCTTCGCTGCTTTGTTTTTCAGGCCTTCTCCTCGATGAACATGATGGTTCATTCCTACGATTCTGCGGCTCGCGCGTATGAGGCGGCTAAGGAGCAGGCGGAGCTAGCCCGGGTTGAGGCCGAGGCGAAGGCAGCCGAGGCGGCTTTGGCGATACAGAGCGCCGAGGCGTTGATTGTAGCCGAGCAAGACGCGAGGCGAAAAATGGCCGAGGAGCATCTTCGTGCTCAGCGGGAGGCCGAGGCGGCGATTGAGAGCCTTAATCGCCTGTTGACCGAGGAGAAATCCCTTCGTGAGGCTGAGGTGGCCCGAGCCACGAAGGCTACCAAGAGGGAGCTCACTGAAGAGTTTGCCGAAAAGGTTAAGGCGACCGAGGCGAAGGTGGGGCTGTTCGACAAGGTCTCCGAGCGATACATCTATTTCTCGCAAGCCAAGGCCAATGCCGAGCTGATCGAAACGCTCGAATCCGGTGGGAAGATTGAGGAGGAGAAGGAAGAGGTGCTAAAATGGAAAGAAGAGTACGGGGACGCCGAAGCTGAGTATGCCAAACTTGGGGCGGAGCTTCTTGGAGATTTGAAGGTTGCTCCGGTGTCTCCCGACTCTGTTCAGAATGTCCTCGGAGATAGGCCGGTAGAAGAGGTGGTCGAGACTGAAGCTGTTGATCCGGTCGGGCCAAGTTTCACCTCCGAGGCCGCGCAGATTCTAGAGAAGGAAGATTGATCGCGAGGCGCCACCTCTTTCCTTTCTTTTTGTTCTAAGTTTTCGTTTTGGTAAAACCCATGCCTGGATGGCTTTATCCATTTAATAATGAATATTTTTGTTTTCGTCTATCTTGAGATGTTTCTGAGCCGAATTTGATACCAATGTTGAATAATTGGGTTTTCGTTGATCTGACTTGTTCGTCGAGGAATCAATCTTTTGCGTACCGGTGTTAAGTATTACCGGGTTTGCAAGCGTGTCGTCAAGACGTCGATTCCTCCGATCCGTTCCAACTTCCGAGCCGAAAGCGAAACGAGTCGTTCACCAGTGTTAAGGTAACTGGGTTTTGATCATGTAAGACTAATCTTCACCGGTTGCGACCCGAGCTGATATAGTCGACGCCAGTGCTTAGAAGCGAACTGGGGTACCAGTGTTGAAGTCAACTGGGTTTCCTGAAGACAATTTCCGTTGGCAGGATATCTCCGACCTGATTGTCTTGAATGTTTATATAGCGCGCTGTTAACCGAAGCGGTGTAGTGAGCTCTCTGTTCGTGGGCGTGGCCATCATCCGAACGAACTATTGGCTTTGGAGGTCGATAAGATGACCGCAAATGTTTCCGAGGCGAGTTTCGGGATTGATGTCGAGGTGGATAAAATTGAAAATCCAAAAGGTAGAACTTTAAAAGAAACTTCCATAAAAAGTTTTAAGTGGGAGTATTTATGTATACGGACCCACTCCCCCCCTTTTTTTAATTAGGGGGGGTAGCTGAACTCGTCCGAAGACGAGCTGCCTACGTACCCTTTTCAGGGATCAAGCCACCCCGTAGTTCAAGTATATGCGTACCTTAGGTTCTTAGCGATAATACTTCCTGAGATGCATTGCGTTCCAGGATCTGGGTACCGCTTTGCCGTTCATGTTGATGAGTTCGTAGACGCCGGGACGTACGACCTTCGCGATCGTGTAAGGTCCTTCCCAATTTGCTCCGAGCTTTCCAGCGTTTAGCTCGGCAGTATTCTGAAACACTTTTCGTAGTACGAGATCTCCTTCGTGGAAGCGGCGCTGCTTAACGTGTGAATTGTAATACCGAGCTGTAGCATTCTGATAGTTCTGCATGCGGACCAAGGCTGAATCTCTTCTCTCGTCGATTAAGTCCAGCTCGTCCAGCATCATCTGAGTGTTGGAGTTTTCCTGCTCGGGGAGCAAACGCCTTCTTATTCCCGGGATCTCGGCTTCGGTGGGAATCACGCATTCCGTACCGTAAACGAGGGCGAAAGGTGTTTCTCCCGTGGCTCGCCGCGGCGTTGTTCTGTGCGACCATAAAACTCCTTCCAATTCGTCGGCCCAGCGGCCTTTCTTGGCGTCGAGGCGCTTCTTTATTCCGTCGAGAATCGTCTTGTTTGCTGCTTCTGCCTGTCCGTTTCCCTGAGGATACCGAGGCGTAGATTTGCTGAGGCGAATACCCCATTTCCCGCAGAATCCTTCGAACCGAGCCGAGATGAATTGTGAGCCATTGTCTGTGACGATCTCGTAAGGTATCCCGTGGCGGCATATGATGTTCTTCCAGACGAAGTTCTCGACCTGCGCGTCTTTGATGGTGGCATAGGAGTCCGCCTCGATCCACTTGGAGAAGTAGTCTGTTAGTACGAGGACGAGTTTCTTCTGTTTGGAGTTGTGTAGAGGTCCGATAATGTCCATGGACCAGCGCATGAAGGGATAAGGCGAGGTGATGGAAGAAAGGAGCTCGGCGGGTTGATGGATAGTTGGTGCGTGTCTTTGGCATTTGTCGCATCTTTGAGAGAACTTCTCGCAATCTTTGACCATCGTCGGCCAAAAATATCCGTGGCGCTTGATCTTTATGGCTAGGGCTCTCCCGCCAGAGTGATTCCCACAAGATCCGCCGTGTATTTCTTCCATGACTCTCCGAGCTTCGTTCCCTTCGACACAGATTAGCAAGGGTCCGGAAAACCGCCATTTAAAGAGTTCTCCGTCGATCAGGGAATACCGAGCCGCTTTCGCCTTAAGCTTCCGAGCTGCCCATTTTTCAGTAGGGACTTCTCCATCGGCTATGTAACTCCGGATGGCTCCGATCCATTTGGTATCGCTCCCATACTCGGGCTCGATTGTGTCTGTAGTCTGTTGGTCTGGCAGTTCGGTGTCCATCTCCTCCGGTTCTTCCGTCTCCCGAGCTGTTAGTACTTGATCTTCGCTACTGTCTTCGATGCTCGGCTTTTCGATGAACTCTACCGGTATGATCCTCTTCAGGTTTGGATCGGAGGTCGAAGCTAGAGCTGCTAAGGCATCCGCCGATGTGTTCTCGCCTCGCGGGATTTTGGTTAACTCGAACTCTCCGAACTGTTTCGCCAGGTCTTGTGTGAGAGCCAGATATGCTTCCATTCGTTCATCCCGAGCCACGTACTCTCCGTTAAATTGGTTGGCCACGAGCTGGGAGTCGCAGAAGGCTCGTAGCTTGTTGATCTTAAGTCCCCGAGCCAGCTTTAGTCCGGCTATCAGCGCTTCGTATTCCGCCACGTTGTTAGTTGCGTTAAAGTTTAGCCGGAAAGATTGCTCAAGGATTTCACCTTCTGGTGACGCCAAGCGGATCCCGACGCCAGAACCTTGTTTCGAGGACGACCCGTCAACGTGGAGGATCCAGACGGCATCGGGTGACTCTTCTCGGGCGTTCTCTGTTGGTAGCTCGATGATAAAATCGGCCAGGACTTGACATTTCGCGCATGTTTTGTTCCTGTATTCGATGTCATACTCGCTGAGTTCTACTGCCCACTTGGCCAGGCGTCCCGATTGGCTCGGACTATGCAGGATGGTTCGAAGCGATACGGGCGCCATGACGACAATTGAGTGAGATTGGAAATACGGCCGTAGTTTCCGAGCTGACATTACTACGGCGAGGGCGAGCTTTTCAGTTTGCGGGTAGCGTGTTTCCGCGTCGGTGAAAGTTTGCGAGACATAAAATATCCCCACAGACGGCGCCAAACTGTGGAAGTCGAAACTAACACAATCGAGATTTGTCTAGGGTTTTATTTTAGGGATACGATAAACGGGAATTCTCAAAGAACAACAGAAAACAATTGTAACCAGAGATGGTGTCCTTGATATTATTGATGAAAAGAATAGTTTTGATCGTACAAGAGTTTGATCGTAAAAGAAAAAGGTGTTTGTGCTGTAAGAGCTTTGTGTAGTGTAAATTCTAGAGCGATATTGCTTGCCCTAAAGTGAGAGCCTTGAGTCTCTTTATATAGGGATGATAAGCCGCCTCTCCAGCGATATTCTTGGAAGATTTCCATTTATCTTGAAGTCGGCTAGAATATCGCGGATTGGGAAAATTTCCTTATTCTTCGGGGTCTTTTGGAAGATTTCCTGATTCGAGTTGATCCTTCAAGATTCCGTCTTATCATTTCCGGGTATATCGGAAATGATGCCTTGCTTGGAAATGATACCTCTGAAGGTGAATATTTTCTAAGTCCTTACCTCGGAAGGTTCTCTACATTCTGCCTCGGGCACCACATTCTGCCTCGGGTAACATTGACACTTCACTTCGGGGCATAATGAGGCTTCGCCTCGGGTGCGCTTGATACTGCCTCGGGACAGCATGTGCATTCGGCTCGGGTCGAAACGAAACGTTACTGCCGCTCCGAGCCGTTGCACCCGAGCCAATCCAACCGATGTCCCTGAGCCGATTTGGGAGATGTTCCCGAGCCAAATCGACGGCGTGTCACGAGCCGATTTGGGAGATGGCCCGAGCTGGTCGTCGATGTATCGGAAAGGTTGTGGTTTGGCTCGGTCGTAGTACGGGCTGCTCGAGAGGTACGTCCCGAGGCGACATGTCTTAGCTCGGACTTAGTGCGGGTGAAATCCGACCCTAACATTTATTAAGTTAAACTTTCTGCTAACTTGGATTTAGATTTAGAAAATCTCTTTTTAATAGTTAAATTTATTATATCTAGTATATTTAAACAAAAGCATTGAATATATAGTTGAAAATCTTGGGTAAAAACTTGAGTTTTTTTTTTTTTTAAGATTTGGAAAATCTCTTTCTATATGAGAGACTCTTTTTAAATCTACTGTCTCATTAGGAGAAGAAGGATTTCAACATAATTCATCTATATGATATTGATATTGATTTATTACGAACAAACTTTTTATGTTCCATCATGAAATTAACATGTTTTAAAATGTGTATTTCATTCCAAAAATTATATAGCTTTTCGCTGAACAAGGATCCATCGACCTACAAGTTTTAATGGATTATATGTCTTCCACCAAACGGATCATCGAATAACAATGTTGGATTAAATATTTTGAAATAATAGATTTTCACTTTTGTTACTTAATATTTTTACTTTTAAAAGATAAACTATTTGTCATTGCTTAGTACATATCTATAAGGAGTGGATACAAGACGAGTACTTGCTATTTTAGGGATACTTGTTACTCGACTTGCTTTGTAAGAGTAATAAAAATTTGTACTTTTATTTGGCTTGTTGAAAACAAGTACTTGCAATTTCAAGTACTTGCTAAAATCTGATTGCTTTGCGAATTATTTGTTTTGTTTTATTACTTGCTACTTGCAAGTTACTTGCAAGTATTTGAGAGTTACTTGCAAGTATTTGAGAATTACTTGCAAGTAACACTTTCGAATTAATTGAAATTACTTGTTGATTTATTTGTCATATTTTTTACCTATTTAAAATTTAATTTACTTTTACCTTAATTTTAAAATTTGTTTAATACTAATACAATACGAAATAAATGTATATAAAATGGTAAAGTGATAACGAGTAACGGATCAAACAAGCCGAGTATTAGTTTTTTCTCATTACTTGTTACTTTGTTTGTACTTACAAGTATCTAAATTTTATTATTTGTTACTTGCCTTAATAACAATGAGTACTTATTTTTTTAAAGCGAGTACGAGGTAAGTAACGAGTACGGGACAAGTAACGAGTAATCGTGTGCAGCCTTAATAGCTATACCTGTTATGAATTTAAACTTTTAAGACAAGAAATTTTAAAAAAAATTTTGTCATTTAAAGAGATACAGTGAAATAGGGGTTAACTAAAATTTAGTAAAATTGATCCAATCTATTACCTTGATTTTAATAAAGCTTAATAAATCATTTTAATTATAAAAAACTGAATCGCTCTGCCCAAAATTGTCAGCTTTAAAGATTAAGATCTTTGAATCACTCTCATCAGAATCAGTTTGATTCGTTAATGAAGAGTTTAAAGTTAATCTTACACAGAACATACTCCACAAGCACTGGAGTCAATTATAGTTTTGAGATCTCTCGTCTCTCACGAATCGGTCAAATCAATGAAGCTCGAAAGTTTTTCGATTCGTTACGCTATAAAGCAATCGGTTCATGGAACTCAATTGTCTCTGGGTACTTCGCAAACGGGTTACCGAAAGAAGCACGCCAACTGTTCGATGAAATGCCTGAGAGAAATATAGTTTCTTGGAACGGGTTGGTTTCAGGGTATATTAAGAATAGGATGATTGAAGAAGCTAGGAATGTGTTTGAGATAATGCCTGAGAGGAATGTTGTGTCGTGGACTGCGATGGTTAAAGGTTATGTGCAAGAAGGTATGGTTGTTGAAGCGGAGTTGTTGTTTTGGAGAATGCCTGAGAGGAATGAGGTTTCTTGGACTGTGATGTTTGGTGGTTTGATTGATGGTGGACGTATTGATGATGCCCGAAAGTTGTATGATATGATGCCGGGGAAAGATGTTGTAGCGAGTACTAATATGATTGGTGGGTTGTGTAGAGAAGGAAGAGTGGATGAGGCAAGAGAGATTTTTGATGAGATGAGGGAGAGGAATGTGATTACTTGGACTACGATGATTACTGGGTACGGGCAGAATAAGCGAGTGGATGTTGCTAGGAAGTTGTTTGAAGTGATGCCGGAGAAGACTGAAGTTTCGTGGACTTCTATGCTTTTGGGGTATACTTTGAGTGGGAGAATTGAGGATGCTGAGGAGTTCTTTGAGGCGATGCCGGTGAAGCCGGTTATTGCGTGTAATGCTATGATTGTTGCGTTGGGTGAGGTAGGAGAGATAGTGAAAGCGAGGAGGGTTTTTGATCAAATGGAGGATAGAGATAATGCGACTTGGCGAGGAATGATTAAAGCTTATGAAAGAAAAGGTTTTGAATTGGAGGCTCTTGATTTGTTTGCTCAAATGCAGAGACAAGGAGTCAGACCGAGTTTTCCGTCTTTGATCAGCATTCTTTCGGCCTGTGCCACTTTAGCAAGTCTACAGTATGGTAGACAGGTCCATGCTCACTTGGTGAGATGTCAGTTTGATGGTGATGTGTATGTTGCCTCTGTTTTGATGACCATGTATGTCAAATGCGGTGAGCTTGTAAAAGCAAAGCTAGTATTCGACAAGTTTCCCTCAAAGGACATTATCATGTGGAATTCAATCATCTCTGGGTACGCATCGCACGGTTTAGGAGAGGAAGCTCTTAAGGTTTTCAATGAGATGCCATCGTCTGGTACCATGCCAAACAAAGTGACTTTAATTGCAATTCTGACAGCATGTAGCTATGCTGGAAAAGTCGAGGAAGGGCTTGAGATATTTGAATCAATGGAATCAAAGTATTGCGTGACACCAACGGTTGAGCATTATTCTTGCACGGTGGATATGCTTGGACGTGCAGGAAAAGTAGATAAGGCAATGGAATTGATCGAAAGCATGACAATCAAGCCAGATGCTACAGTTTGGGGTGCTCTGTTGGGAGCGTGTAAAACTCACTCACGACTAGATTTAGCTGAAGTTGCTGCAAAGAAACTTTTCGAGATTGAACCAGAAAACGCTGGTCCATATATTTTGCTATCCAGCATAAATGCATCTCGATCGAAGTGGGGAGATGTTGCAGAAATGAGGAAAAACATGAGGACAAAGAATGTAAGTAAATTCCCTGGATGTAGCTGGATTGAGGTAGGGAAAAAAGTGCACATGTTCACTCGCGGAGGTATCAGAAACCATCCCGAGCAAGCGATGATATTAATGATGTTGGAGAAAACAGATGGTTTATTAAGAGAAGCTGGTTATAGTCCTGATTGCAGCCATGTCTTACACGATGTAGATGAGGAAGAGAAAGTTGATAGCTTAAGCCGTCACAGCGAGAGACTAGCGGTAGCTTATGGACTCTTAAAGCTACCCGAAGGAGTACCTATTCGAGTCATGAAGAACCTTAGAGTCTGTGGAGATTGCCATGCCGCCATTAAACTCATTTCTAAAGTCACAGAAAGAGAGATCATTCTAAGAGATGCAAACAGATTCCATCATTTCAACAATGGAGAGTGTTCTTGTAGAGATTATTGGTGAGATTGAGAATGGTCCATTTCTATTGGTTTAATTCGGTTCAACTTCTATTGGTTTAATATGAGATTTGTGTATTATATAGTTTTTATAAGAAGAATGTTTTCACACATATCAATGCTCCACTCAATTATCATCTTGACATTATTCGTTATAATAATTGAATCGTTGATGATTTGTTGTTATTATCTCTTTGGGAAGTGACCTACCACTTTTGTTATATGGAATAAAAGATTACAAAACATAATGTCTTAATGTCTTGTTTTGTGATTATCAAACTTCCGTCCAAAGTGGAACATGATTAAAGTTAGGTTTCAATCGATTGGATAAGGACAAAGACTGGTTGTTGTGTCACATTTTCATCTCTCTCTTTCTCTCAAATCGATTTCACTCGAAGAGACACACAAAGTTATCAATTGTGTTCATCCTCTCAGGTCTTCAATATCTGTTTTTTTGAGGTAAAAGTTTCGATTTTTACGTTTCCTGATCATCTTTTTGAACTGGGTTTGATCCAGTTTTTTGAATTGGGTATTTTTAGAATTTTCGATTTTAGAATTAGTAATTTAGTATTGATGATCAGACTTAAGAAAAAACTGATCTTTTTCATCGTCTGAATCAGTTGGGTTCGTACGGAAATAGATAAAAAGCTGCAAACTTTATTCTTTTATGTTGATAGAGTCATAAACTTTATGTTAAACTTGTTGAGATCTGGATTCGTTTTGTCATTTGAGCAGAGAGTGTTGTCTGATTGTTCTAAATTTGACTGTTAGTAGTGTCCAGTATCTGACAGAAACAGGTTTATGTTTCAGTTGTATTGATGGGTTCTGAAGGACCAACAGGTGTGACGATTCATATCACAGGGTTCAAGAAGTTCCATGGAGTAGCTGAGAATCCTACAGAGAAAATGGCTAACAATTTGAAAGAGTATTTGGCGAAGAATTGTGTGTCGAAAGATCTGATTCTTGGAAGTTGTACTGTGCTTGAAACCGCTGGTCAAGGAGCTCTTGCTTCTCTTTATCAGTTGTTACAATCCGCAGTTAACACGAAAGAATCAGAGTCATTGACCGGAAAAACTATTTGGGTTAGTTAGTTAGTTAGTTAAGCCAAGTGATTTGATTCTGTACGCTGAGGATTCTCTGAAGTCATTGTGGTGTCTCTTTTAGGTTCACTTTGGAGTTAATAGCGGCGCTACGAAATTTGCAATTGAGCAACAAGCTGTGAATGAAGCGACTTTTCGTTGTCCTGATGAATTGGGTTGGAAACCTCAGGTTTTTGTTTCACTCTCCTTTGGTTGTTTTTGTTTGATAAGTTGTTTAGTTCCATGAAACATTCTTGTGGTCTGCAGAATTTGCCAATTGTTCCCTCGGATGGTCCAATCTCAACTGTAAGAAAGGTATGTCGAAGACACTCACTCCTCGAGCCGTGTTTCTTGAGCTTTTGGTCTACAGAATTGGACATTCTTGTTTTCTTATGTTGAATCTTGTTTATGATTTGCAGACGAATCTTCCTGTTGACGAGATAACAAAGGCGTTGGAGAAGAAGGGCTTTGAAGTTATAAAATCAGATGATGCAGGTCGATTTGTGTGTAACTATGTCTATTACCACTCTCTGAGATTTGCAGAGCAGAATAAGACCAAATCACTCTTTGTTCACGTTCCTCTTTTTGTTGCCGTGGATGAAGAAACCCAAATGAGATTCACGGTTTCTCTGCTGGAGGTACTCGCTTCTATTTGCAAGTAATGTTATCCCAAATGTGGCTGTTCATGTTCATGAATTGTGCATCATGGACCGATTGTCTCCCCACGAAAAAATCGCCTATCAATAAATGGAATATAAGTTCACTTCTCTATTATCTCCTCTTCATATATGCATTACTTCTTTCAAGTTCTGGAAACTGGATTCATTTTCTTCTTCTAAATTGCTAGCTTAGTCAAATGAAAAATGATATACGCCTACTTGCTAGTGATGCGAATGCATCGAGAATTCGAAAGCTGCAATTTTTGAGGAAAATTCAATGTATGAATCTGAGTAAAGGGTCTTCTTCTGTTTGACAAAGTATTTTTTATTTATTTATTTTACAAACTATAATGACTTCTTTAAGCCTATCACAACTGTATGTAGTGTGCATCCTAAAAAGTTTCATACTTTCAGGACAATGGCTAACCTTTAGACTAATTTCTTCGATACTCTTTACTGACATCGAATACAAGTTGGTGAACAGCGATGAACACATCTTCTTCTGTTAGAAGTCCGGAGGTGCATCAAGCAGACAATAAACAGGTGGCACTGTAATCTGTGTGCTTCCATACGCGTTCCAGCAGAACGGGTTTTCCAAATGCTGGCCTTTGGAAGGAAACAGATCAACATCCGCGAGTCTCAGGTTGGTACAGGGGACAGAGTCGCTGCAACCAAAATGCATCGGTGGGCTTCTCAGGTCGTAAGTCCCTTTGATGTTGGCATACAGAACATCGCTAATAATGACTGCGCTGGTTTGGTTAGCACAGTTATTAGTTTGGCAGTAGTACTGGTCTATCATTATAGGGTTACGAACATTAACCATCAAAATGTTACTGAACACAATTCTTGAAACCGAGCCTGACCCTCCTTGCCATGTCTTGATCCGAACACCGTTGTCTGAGTTCCATATGGTTGAGTTTGTCACTGTTATATTCGAGACATAGGCCTGCGAGTTGTGGACTCCGAGGCTACCTATGCTGCAACATTACCCATAGGTTCGTTGTTCACACTTCAAACCAGAAAAACAAAACAAAACTTTCTGAGAAACAGAGCCTAAAGGCTGGTAATCTAAAGCCTACTTTATTATAAGAGGCACATAGAGTTTGGCAGATTGAAATATTTAATGGAAGTTATGAAAGTGATACCTAATCCCATGGCTTGGACCGCACGTAACATTCTTAATATCGACATTAAAGCAGCCGCCTCCGATTGAAATACAATCATCTCCTGTTATAACCGAATAAAAAGATTGCAATCAGCTAACTTTTACTGTTGAGAAACCGCGAAAACGGGGAAAAATTACCGTTGGAAATCACGGAATTGCGAATCTGAACGTTATGTGTATTCTCAATGTGGATCCCATCTGTGTTAGGACTAGAAGCTGGTGCCTTGATTGTCACGGAATCAACAACCACGTCACTGCAGTTATCAAACCTTACATGGAACTGGGCGCTGTTCATGAAGTTAAGCCCTTGGATTCTCACTTTTGAGCTCTGAAATACCCGAATCGCCTGATATCGAATCAAACTGACATTTTTAGCCAATGTAATCCACTAATTTTTTCATAACAAGAGAAAGTAGTGTGATTGTGAGACGATGGCTTACTACAGGACTGTCACAAGGACCGGGTTGAGTCGTTCCGTTAGGGCCCTTGTGAGGTTTGCAAGGAAGGTTCCACCATTTTTGGCCACGGCCGTTGATAAAACCTGAGCCTTGAATTGATAATCCATTCACTCTGTAAAACATCATCCATTGCCTCTGGTAGTTCGCTGGCCATGACCTCGGTCCATCCGGCGAGATTATGAACCCGTCGATCTATAAGAAAGAAAACAATCCGTACATGAAACTATGAAACACAAGATAAAAATATGATTATGAAATTAGCTTACTTGTAGCACAAGGTGGGTTCTACAAGGACCATTGAAGGTGGTTGGGTTGACCAAGAAACAGAAGGTGTAAGGGACAAGTAGCAGGGCTGACTTAGACACTGTGCTCATACATGCAACGTCCCATGCCATCTTGAATGCTGATGTGTCGTCCGTCGCACAATCGCCGATGGCTCCAAAGGAAGTAACGTCGAAGACGGTTGGCCCAATACTGTCGTTATCATCGTAAGCCGGATTTGGAGCCGGTGATGGACTTAGATACATATTCTGAGAGATTCGAGACGATGAGAATATGATCAAGAAGAATGCATAAAAGAGTGAATTAGGGAATAACATTTTTTTGTGAATGTCTTAGGAGATGAAGAATGGTGAGCAATATATATATACATTAATTGTGAAGGTATACAAAGAGAATAAACTACAAAAAGAGTAATGGACTTCATTATCCTATTCCTATGTATGTATGTGGTAGACTTTAGGGTTTCATAGGTTTAGCCAAATTGTCTAACACGCGAGGAATGTAGTGGTCGATCATACTCATATAGAAAAAAAGAGAGCCTAAGAGTTTAATGTATCTTTGGAACTAGTAAGGATATATCTTTAGACTAGCAAGTAGCGGTTATAAAGGGATGTTGATGAGATTAGGGATTTAGAGATACATTCTTACGTACGAAACATATTTTCTACAATGTCACTATTAAAAGATTCGAACTAAGATTTTTTTGTTTTCTGAAAATAAAATTGAGATACTTTATTGGTTGAGCCAGGATATATTATTTTTTTGTTTTTATCAAAGTGTATGATGTCATATCCATTTTATATCTATTTTTTTTTTTTATAAACCCTATCGGCTGATCCGGTCAGTGGACTATTACTTCTGTGGTTTAATGGTTCAACGATTCAACGGATACCATGAGCTTCGAACGGACTCGGGTCGAACGGGCCATGAGATTCATGAGATCCATGAGATCCATAATTGGGCCACCACACTGCCTGATCCGAGTTTAGAGTGCCTTCCGACTAATGTCAGGGGATAGTTAGGCCGCCTGCATTTCTGACTAACAGGCAACCAATTGGTCAAAGCCCAACTGACAAATTTCCCAAACAAATGTGTTTTTGTTTCCAGGGAAGATCGAACTCGGGTCTGGGAGTTTCACCCTTCCCCAAACCTTCTCCTACCACAAGACCACATATACTTGGGCCCATTATATATCTATATACATTCATATTTTACGTTCGTAGGATAGATTGCAAAAGTGGTCTCAAGTCTCAACACACTAGTGTTAGCAGTTTTTCATTTATTTTTGACTTTATCAAGGGTTAGTTAACTATTTTTTATACATGAAATATCATTACTTTTAAGCTAAATTTGGTACACATGATTGTGGTAAGTAGAGCGTCATCTTGTAAAGTAACATTTTTATAGTCTAACAATGAATATATACCGTTAGGGGTGTCAAAATGGGTCAAGATTCATGGGTCAACCAAAACTCAACTCAACCCATGAACCCTAATGAGTTGAAATTTTGACTCAAATGAGTTGATGGATCAA